CTAAAATGAAAGTTTCCCATTTTGTAAATTTGACATTTTGTGAGGTATGTGGCCCTCTGTTGGGGTAATTGCATCGTATGGATCTTTATTCACTTTATGTGGACTATTTTCCATAAGATGACACGTTGGACATCCTGTAATACTAACTACAAAGAGATAGTTACAGCTTTTGGTTGGCTGAGTCTGGAGGAGACGTGGTGGGTGCAGTGGCTGCTCCTCCATCATATTATCTTAATGTGGAGAACCACAGAGAGCTGAGAGACCAAGTATTACCTTGATGAGGTTAAGGGGTTGGGAAAGCCTTGTGCCAAAATGTTATGTACTTTGCCTAACAAGAAAATGGTTGGATGCTGTTGTATTTCAGCAACATCTGGAGGGTTACAGAGTTTGGAGAACCCTCGTCTAGATTGATGCTCAGAGATTCTACGAGATTATGAGTTTCTGTAAAATTGGTTAAAAAAAAAAAAGAGAGCCATTTGTTGTTTTGTGGTGGTTTTAATATATCAAGATAAGTTTCTTTTTACAAAAACATAAGGCAATTATAATATCTTTTTAACGTTTAGTGAATCCATGTTAAGCTTGCTGATTATGTTTTTTAATTGCGTTTATGAGCGAAGCACTATCATGTCTGTATTTGTTTTATATAGTTTGGTTTTTAATAGTTCTTACATGTGCCCTCAATTTAAAAGAGTAGTTCACAGCATTTTACGTTGGCCTAGATATTGGGTACACATGGTGGGAAGTCCCTAGAAACTACTAAAAATGTTTTGGTGAAAACGTGTCGATTCAGGCAGGTTAGAGCAATAGAAAGATGTTCTTCCTATATTCAGCACGATTGTAAATCAATTCTTTTTCTTATTTAACAGCAAGAACAGGTGTGTAAAACATTGTAATACAACTGCAATAATTACTGCCTAAACCTAGAGTAGAGGGGCATGGTGCTCAGTCTAAAAGGAATCTGTTCTGGATCCCAATTATACACATTTCTGTTGAAATATGTGATTTTAAGTAGCCTTGTAAGATGG